TGGATATACATGTACCTTTGTTGCTGAATCAGTTCAAAATGTGATTGAACAAACAAATAGCTAAACATGGTGGAGACTTACCCTTTTGTTGTATGTAGGTTGTGATTGCTTTATATCTATAAAGCGGAGAAAAAACAAGAATGGCGTTTTGGAGGCCGAGATCCATGAAGGCTTTTATTTTTGAAAAATTCAAATTCAAACATTTATGACTCAAAAAATTCTGAAAAATATATGCGTGTATGTAAGGACGTAACCCATATGTGTGCAAAATTTCATGATGAAATACGTTAAAATGCGACCTGTACAAAAAAGATAAGTTCATGACCTGATAGAATTAATAGTATCATGGTTAAACAGCCTTAGATTTGTCTTTATTTGCACAACCCTCATTTCAACGTTTCTTGCCTTAAAAATTTACACACAAGTATGTTATGGCGTCATGTATATCCGTACTTTTTTCAGAACTCTTTGAAATGTAAAAATATGAATTTTGATAAAATTTGAATTTTGAATCTGGAGGCCTTCGGTGAGCTCGGTCACCAAAGGCAATTTCCGAGAAAAAACAGACTAGATCTCCCCTCCATTACTTTGCAAGTTCAGATTAAATTCCCAACAGCGCCCGGCCGGACGGGCCCCTGAAAATTTATCTACCCGTGGATGCAGGCCTTGAATGCGTCCATGTGCGCCGGGTCGATCGACACGGAGGCTTGCACCTCGCCATCTCGCCGGCCGCCGACGAGCACCATCTCGCCGTCGTGGTTCATGGATACCAGCTCCACGCGCGCGGGCTTGCCGAACCCGAAGTCAGCCGCCTCGTAGGCCCTGAATCGAGGGCTCGCCGCCACGTTCGTCAGCCGCTGAAACGGCAGCCGCATCAGCTTCTGCATCCACCCCTTGTCCGTCCCGGACAGCGGCGCCGCCTCCATCTCCGCCACCGCGGCCTGCACAGCCCGCGCCGCGCGGAGGATGCCCGCCTGGCCGAGGAGATCCGCCGCGTCGGCGCAGGTCGCCAGGCACGCGCGCACGCAGTTGCCGAGGTAAGCCTCGCTCACATGCGGGTCGAGGCGGGAGCGCAGGTCGGCGAGGAACACCAGGTACGTGTCGTCCCCGGCGCCGAGCCCCTTGGAACGAACGAACGCCGTCCAGCTCAGCGCCGCCAGCGCCACGAACGTCGACACCGGTTTCAGCTTGGGCGCGTCGCCACCGGCGGCGGCAGCCTCGGCGGAGGCGAGGTCGTCGATCCGCCGCCTAAGCGACTGGATGTCGTCGGTGCCGAGGTAGAACGTCCGGCGCGCCAGCAGGAACCGCTGGCTGAAGTCGTGCTGTCCTCTCACCTGCGAGGATGTATGTCAATGTCTTTTCCTGGTAAACAAATCACAAGGCTTGATGGTCATGAATTCAGGATTCCTTCATTCATGGCTCTGAAAATTGTTCCGCGCAATGCAGTTTCGTCATCTATGTTGGAGCCTCGGAGGTGGAAAGCATACGGTTCGCATGGTGCACTTTGGTTGACGTAGCAAGCAGAAGTTGACAAAGCTACGGACGGAGTGGAGGTAGACGGAGCTGCAACAAGTACTGTCCACAAATAATAGCAATATATACTCCAGTAGATAAGATTATACGAGTAGTATGTTTAATTACCTCTGGGAGATTGGGCCCGACGGTCTTTAGCATCTCGCGGGCGAGCTCGTCGGCGTTCGCGTGATGGATGACGTCGCGGCTGTAGTGTGGCGGGCCGAGGACCTTGGTGACTGGGGAGCCCTCACGGGAAGCGGAAGACCATGCCTCCATGAATCGCCACACGGTGCGTCCGTCGGCGACGGCGTGGTGCACGCACAGGCCGACCGCCAGGCCGGCGCTTAGACGAGTAGCCTGTACTGACAGCACGGGCGCCGGGAGCACCCGGGCATCCAGCTCCGGCACGAGGCTCAGGAATGCGAGGATGTCGTGCGCCTCGTCGCCAGCTAGACGCCGCACATCCATGTCGCCCTCGGCCTCGAGGAAGGCGACCCCGGCGTTGGTGCAGTGCAGTCCACGAAGGCGTCCCCGGTCTCCACCTCGTACTCCAGCGTCCCCGCCAGGGGGAGGTAGTGCGCCAGCGTGTCCGCGAGAGCGCGCTTGAGTCGCTCGACCACCGCCTGGAACTGGAAGCCGTCGCCGCCGTCCTCCCCAAGCTGGTACAGGAACACCCGCTGGATCGGAGGCAGCACGACCCACAACGAATCAAGGAAGGAAAGTTTCAGGCGTTCCCCGCGCTGCCCCTCCCCGAGCATCGACGGCGCAACCCAGGAAACGGCGACAGCCCGCACGGCCGCGGCCTTTGCGGCGGCGTCTGAGCTTGCCTCGTCCATCCCGATCTGCCGGCACCGCACTTACTGGTTGTTTGCTGGAGAGCCAGAGGGGTAGGAAACGACTCATAGATCATAGATGCGCCGCGCGCTTATAGCGGTGGCGGGCGTCTTCTTGCGCAAGCTGGACCTACGATGAGAACTTCCCAAACTGGATGATACGGCGTTCTGCATGATATGCGGTGGCGCGGTGGAATGGAATACATATCGGTTGTATACATACACATTCCTGACATAACCAAGCCACCCACCGTGGCGGCAGGCGTTACGCATGCATGCAGCTCTGCTTATTACTCCATCCGTCCAAAAATACTTACCATTAAAATGGATAAAAGGGATGTATCTAGACATACAAGTATTTTCGGATGGAGGGAGTACTTTAAAAGATACTCACTCCGTTTTTTATCTTTACAGCCCCTCAAACGCCAGCAAACGCATCCGGACACGTTTGGGGACTGTGATCACTCACGTCTAAAATTTATTCCTCTGCATCGGTATACCTCATCCTAGAAAGAAACCTTAGATCCATATAAAAGCATACAAATGATAGAATCCATGTACTATGTAGATAAACTACACGCTCTTATGTAATGCCAACATTTCTACTCCCTCCATCCCAAAATTCTTGTTTTAAATTTATCAAGATAGAGAAGCATCTAACACTAAAACGTGACAAGATACATCCGTATTTAGACAAATCGAAGACAAAAATTTTGGTACGGAGAGAGTATAAAATAACATAACATAAGAGGTTTTTAACAATACACGGTCTTATGGAATGAATGGAGTAGATACCAGCTGGTTCATGGCCGGAGAGTACAAGGATCGCTTGGAAAAGACAGCCTGCTTTTATTCATTACGGACGATAAAATGGACAGCTAGCGTGGCTCATTAGAAGGTTCCTACGTGCGGTGGACAAATGTGTGTGTGCCTATGAATGTTTCTATATGAAACGACCCCAGAGATGAGTGACTGATACGGCCGGTACGGTGCTTTGGTCAGAGATTACGTCAATCATCGGGACATGACAGAGAGTAGTCCAACAATAGAGAAATGAGGTTGAAAGAAAAGCTTTTTACATCTTCAACAAAGTCCTAACTCCAACAGATGATGTATATTTGGTGATGTAAAATTCCTACTCCAACAGATGATGCATTTCAAGATGTAAAACTAGTCGGCAAAAGCGTCAGCAGACGAGCGCCGAGAGTCGGTAGGAGCGTCGACAGACAGAGCGACGGCAGTAAGTGAGCCGGCGGACGAGCGGCGAGAGTCGGGAGGTCAAATGCGGTGGCGGGAACTCGAATGGCCGGCTGCGCAGCTGGGAATCGAGCGGCAGATTGGTCGCGGCGGGGCGACGGCCGTTCGGTGCGGGGAGGTCAAGTCTGGAGGCGGAAAAGTGGCGGCGACATGGCAGCGAGTTGATACGTCTCCATCGTATCTACTTTTCCAAACTCTTTTGCCTTGTTTTGGATTCTAATTTGCATGATTTGAATGGAACTAACCCGGATTGACATTGTTTTCAGCAGAATTGCCATGATGTTATTTTTGTGCAGAAATAAAAGTTCTCGGATTGACCTAAAACTTCACGGAGATTCTTTTTGGAATAAATAAAAAATATTGGTGAAAGAATCAACAGAAGGGGACCCACACCTTGTCCACAAGGGTGGAGGGCGCCCCCCCCCCCCTGAGGCGCGCCCTCTGGTCTTGTGGCCCCCCTGGACCTCCACCGACCTCAACTCCAACTTCATATATTCACGTTTGGAGAGAAAAAAATCATAGAGAAGGATTCATCGCGTTTTACGATACAGAGCCGCCGCCACCTCCTGTTCTTCCTCGG